GTTGTTTCCAGCAAGACACACCATGGACTGCCGAGGAAAATGCCGGAGATGACTGCTACCCTCCGGTATGGACTACAGCATTTGCTGTGCGCATTGGTCAGGAAGCTATGCAGCATCCCAGCTGTAGAGCGAGTATCTGCGCAAAGATCCACAGATTTGTGCAGCAGCACTGCGGAGAGGGCCTCCCCCAGCAGGGAGAAGGGGGGCCAGGAAGACAGCATTCCACTCTGTGGTGTGGGGGGCAAGCAGCACCGTGTCCCTCTGCTGGCTGCACAGTTCTCTGGTTCTCCAGATGTTTATGGGGGTCTAGGAGGGCAAAGAGCCACACTGCCATTTCTGAGCCCTGGGCCACCAGAAGCAGGGAGCTCATAAGCCTGGTATCTCAGGTACTTTTTGTCTCATTACTGAGACAAAATATTTGATGCTCAGAATTAAGGAAGAAAAATTTTTGTTTGGCTCACTGTTTGTTGAGGTGTCAGTCCATACTCAGCTGGCTCCAAGGCAGAGCGGCACAGGGAAGAGGGCGACCATTCATGGCAGTGGAAAACTGCAAAAGCAGAAAGAGCAAAAAGACAAGAGCAGGCCTCTTTCCCTCCCTTATATTGTGTGCAGAGTACTCACCCCAGGGCAGGTGTAGCACTCACACCCGTATTCCCAGCACTGAATTAATCCCTGAATTAATTGCAAATTCTAGAAGCCACCCCATGACTGCAGGAGGCTTTAGGGGAAACAATGAGACACAAGCCATGACGTCTGGCCACATGCTCTTGATGAGGGGTGACCTAGGAGTAGTGAACAGAGAGACGTCTGCGACACACTACTGTCTCTTCTGAAAATGTTTTGTATTGGGTCGAATTTCCACACGTGGTATGTGTGTTTGTACATTTTTTTTCTTTTATTATTTATTTATTTATTTATTTATTTTGCAGAACCGGGGATTGAACTCAGGCCCTTGCGCTTGCCAGGTAAGCGCTTATTTTACTGAGCCATCTCCCTGGTCCCATATTTTTATTTCTGATAATAAAATATTGTATCCTCATTGGAAAACACAAAAGTTGGGCTGACCGGATAGCTAGCAGACTAAGCACCTGCTTAAGCAATAGCAGGGACTGCAGGGACAGAGTTTGCATCCCTGGCCCCACAGGCTGTACTGACCCTGCCCTTCAGGCAAACTGAGCTGGCCAAGACAGGGCCAAGAGCTGGCTGGGATTACAGGTGGTGCACACCTGTAATCCCAGCGCTAGGGAGGCTGCAAATAAGAGGATCACAAGTCTGAGCTGCCTAGTGAGAACCAAATACACTGAAAAAAACACACATACACAGTTAACCATCAAAAATAGAATCGCTGAGCTGCCTGGGGTAGGTGCACACTGAAAATCTCTGCACTCTGGGAGACTGAGGCAAAAAGACTGTAAATTCAAACCTGGACTAGGAAATTTACCAATTTAGGAAGATCCTGTCTCAGAGCATGTTTTTTTGTTTGTTTGTTTGTTTTTAAAGTACTGGAGATGCATCTCAGTGAGAAAACCCTGGGATTACAGAGCCAGTGCTACCCCTGCCCTGGGCAGATAATCTGCATGCAATATACAGGAGGGAAAGAGGCTTGCTCTTGCATTTGCACTCTTGCTGCTTTTGCTGTTTTCCACTGCAATGACCCCACTACCATGGAGAGAAAGAGAGAGAGAGAGAGAGAGAGAGAGAGAGAGAGAGAGAGAGAAGAGAGAGAAAGTCACTGATATGGGCTGTCCAGACTTAGCTTGCTCCACCTACTTCCTTCCATTTTACCCATCTACTGTATAGCACACGGACACATACCCATGATATAATTTATTAAATTCATCTTACGTTGGAGGTGGGTGCCGTGGTGACACAGGAGTTAGGGCATGGCAAAGCTGGCTGGGGAAGCAAGTGTGACCCATTAATCACAAGATCCAGGAACGCACGCGCAGAGCAGTCCCCGAGGCCGCTCCTGTGGACTTCTTTCCAGACTCCTGCGGGTTTCCATGGATAGCGAGTCAGCCTGCGGAGCGTGATCCCGGTGGGTGCCGCAGCCCAGGACAGCATGTGTACACGTTGTCGTGGGTTTCCCTGAGATCTGGAGAGCATGAATGGACACAGACCCCAAGAAGAGCTTGTGGCCTCAGTTTTCCTCTCCACGGCCTGCTCTGCTTCCTTAGGGTGTTCGTTTATCTTGCCTTGTCCTCTTCAGCCGAGCTTGCTCTGCAGAGCCAGCTTCTCCCTCCACTTTTACTTTTTCAAATAAACTTTACCATTGTCCTTTGCTCATTCAATTCCCCCCCCCCGAAACAAAAAGTGTTGTAACCCAAAAATCAAAAACCAGACTCAAACTTAAAAGCGCTTTATTTAGCTGAGCTCAGCGGTGGCACGTACTCTGTCTCCAAGTATGTGTGCGCTTAGTCTAGGTGAGGCACAGTTTTTAAGGGGAAAAACCACAAGATTGGGGGAGGAGGGGGGATTTTACAAAGCTTATTTTGAGTTAGTCATGACCAAGGGTTAACTCTTTGTTCCTATAGACGTGGTCACATTTTGCAAACCCTACAGGAATATGTCTTTATTTGGTTTAGGCATTGTTATGTTCCGGTAGTCAGAAGGACATCAGATGACAGTTTCACCCATTTTCAAGTTATCTGTTTGTTCCCATTGGAAGGACAGTTTAACTCATTTTGCAGAATGTTGAGGAACATTTCTTATCTTCTCTCGGAATACTGAGACACTCTTTTAACAGCCACATTCTTCAGGGAAGGCACGGGTGGGAGGGTTTACAAAACAAATCAAGGTTTTACAAAACGGAAGTTACAAAGCTTGTTACAAGATGGAGTTTAGGTTGTCAGCTTATACCAAATAGTCCTTGTTAATAAAGTTACTGTGGAAACATACAGTTACAAAATTGGAATCAATTGCACAGGTTATAACAAAAGAACCTAGAATCTTACTCCAGAAGGACAGGCAAGGGAGCCCAAACCCGGTGAGACACTCTTAGAAGGAGCTGCCTGGGGACATTTGGGTGCAGCCATCCAGGAGATTCAAATCCAGGAGATTCCAGTCACTGGTAATCCCTGCCCTCAGGAGACTGAAGCAGGAGGATCACTGCAAGGTCAAGGCCTGCCTGAACTACATAGTGAGAACTCATCTTGAAAAACCAAAACATTTATTCATTCGTTTGTTTTATATCTGAGACAACTGGATTGTATAATAAATAGCTTTCTATCATACAAAGTATCTTCCACATATCACTGAGAGTTTTCTTACAAGAGTAAATATTCTTTGAAGGCATTTCTTTTCATTTAAATAGTGAGATTTATTCTTTTCGATGTATAGTGCTAGGAGTCAGGAAAGTACACAGGTTCATGCACCGCCCTACCCCAATCAGGTACAGAACAGACCTGCCACTTCCACTTCCGGTCCCTCTCAGCCCGCCGTCCTGTCCACACCCACCCGGCTCACTCTCAGCAGCGCCTGCCCTGCTCTCTCTCTCTGCCTCTCCCATGACCCCTTATAAGTAGAATCCTGCAGTGCACAACTATTTGGCCTGGTTTGTCCCCCTTAGCACGACGATTTGCGTTTCATCCTCCTCACTGCAGGCTTATCAGAGCAGCTCTCCATGGTGTAGACGTGCTGCGATTAACTTACCTTCCCACCAGCTGAAGGACGTTGGCGCTGGTAAGCGTGGCTTTTCCTTGTCGGGTGATACTGCACCCTTCAGACATACCAAAGCTAAGGCCAGCAGGTCCATACAGTTCCAGTAAATATGTAGATGTTATGGGACATTTGTACCGTTCCCTCACCACAAGTAGGCTTTAAATAAATCTTTTTTTTTTTTTTTCATTTATTTATTGGATACAGGATCTCACTACACAGCTCAGACTCATAGTGATCCTCCTTTTCTCAGCCTCCCCAGCTCTGGGATTACAGGCATGCACCACCATGCCCAGTCTGGGTAGCCAGCTCAGCTCGCCCAGAGGCGGGGCCAGCACCCCACATGGTGCAGGGAATTGATTCCTGGTCCCTGTGCTTGCCTATGCAAGTGCTTGGTCCACTGAGCTATCTTGCCAGCCATCCTTTAAATAAATCTATATGCCTATCTGATGCCTATGTATGTTATAGTATCCATATATTTCAAGATATCAATAAGCCTATATTCTGCACATCTGGAGATTTAGAAAAATACCCAAAGTACAAAATATTGTTCTATTAGACTTTTCTACATATTTGATTGTATAAGATTAAGCAAGTGTTGGGGGGTCTCAAGACTTGGTGCTGTTATAAAAATAAGCAAATCCAAACTGCTTTAGGTTTTAACCATCCAGTAGCAAAGTATAAAAATGAAGTACAAGAAATAAAGCCATGTTGTCATGTTGAGCTGTGGGGGACTCAGGGCAACAACTTCTGGCATTGCCAGTCAAGTGGAAGACCCAGCACTATTATGGACTACTGGACTATTTTGGAATATTTTGCTGAGTTCACACACCTATAATATTTAAATGATGGAACTAAACAAAAAAGGGGATATATAAATGAATGTCCATTTTGTATCTGTGTATTCAAAATGGTTAGGATAGACACACAGCTACATTTTCTTAATTCAAGGAATAGAGGGATTTGTTCTAATAGTGTTTGGAAATAGGAGATCATGTCTATCTTGTACAACAAATAACCACTAGGAAGGCAGTATGCAATGTGGTAATTATTGGAACTGTCCTACCAATTCGATTTGAAACTATCTCATTGCTATTCATTTCTCAATAAAATTATGGAAAAAATAAAAATAAATAGGGAAAAAAAAACTGCTTTAATTTTAAGGCAGCAGATTTAACCCGCTAGCAGGACACAATTTCTTGTTTCCACAATCCTGAACATGAAAGTCACTGAAAAATGACATTTCCCCAGGAAGAGGCACCTTTGGAGCAGAGAGTGCGCGGACTGTGCGGAACGGGAAAAAGACAGCACAGGGGGTGTGGTCGGCAGAGTCAGGCTTCTAGTTACAGTCGGAACCAAAGGCCACAGCCACCACCGGAACCAAAGGCCACAGCCACCACCGACAGAGGCAGGAGCAGGGCGGCGCTATGCTCAGGAGACTGGGCGGAGGCTGCTCCTCCAGTGGATGCGGCTGACCTGGTGATGGGGGGACAGAAAAAAGTCAGTCCTGCTGCGTGAGCCCACATGTCTCAATACACAAGCACCCTCTAGAACTGTTAACTGGAGCAGAAAATGGTAGAGCAAAAAATAATAAAGGTCTCTTAGTATCTCCGTTACTGCTTTCAAAGAGAATCACCACTGGTAATTTGGGTTGTCCTTCCAGGATGGAGACAGATAAAAAGACAGACAGACAGACACACACACACACACACACACACACACACACACACACACACACACACACTTTTATCTAGCTAACATGATTTGTCTGTAGGTGATTCCCCAAAGCCTCATGCAGTCAAGGAGGCTTCTAGAGTTTGAGATTAACTCATGATCCACTGGGATTATGGCTCTTAGTACAGTTCAGATTATGGGTGTGAGTGCTATATCCAGCCTGGGGCGGAGAGCCTGACCACAACTTAAGGGAGACAGGTTTCCTCTCTGTCACCATTGTTCCCGCTACTCCTCCCACTTGCTCTTGCTCTTTGCCACCACCATAAAAGGTTGCTCAAGGGAGACCCAGTCTTGCCGTGCCTACACCTTTAGAGAGAGCCTCGTCAAACTTCAATCCTAATTGTAGCAAATAGGACCTGACCTCTGGATTTCTGAAAACAGAAATCACTGAATCCTGTTAAACCAGTTAAAACATGGATTTTTAAAATCATGAAACCATCTAATGTTAGACTAAAAATAAGTCTGATGGCACAGGAAGAGGGGCCTTAAAATTTCCTATTAGAATATTGTGGCCCCTTTTGGGGCAGAAGAAATCTTGCCCTCAAATTTGAGTTAGGGCTCCACCTGCTGGACATTTTCTATGATTACAAATCTGGTTCAGTCCAGACCGGATTCACGGATTTTGCCTTTAAATAACTAATAAATACAAGGCTAGATTGCCAGGTGTGGGGGTGCATGCCTGCAATCCCAGCACTCAAGAGGCTGAGGAGGAGGATGGAGGTGAGTTTGAGGCTACACAATGAGACCCTGTCTCAAAAAAAAAAAAAAAAAAAAAAGGATAGACAAATACAGTAGTCATGATAACGGACCACCTCCAAGGCCCATCCCTGTTTACATCCTTGGCACGTGACAGTTTCTGTGCTTCTCCACTGGAACCCGTGTGACACTCTATTGTTGTTAATTTGCTCTTGTGTGGTGCCTAGAATGTCGCCTTGTCTGTGGAGGACCACCTGAGCAGCTCTCCTTGAAAGAAGAGCGACTGTGTCCATCTTGACCGAGCCTGACCCTATTTCCTCGTATTGTTATGCACAGAGCTGGTGAGGACTTCTGTTTATCCTTCTGTTGGCCTTAAGCAATGTATACTGGTCTAGCTGAGGTGCTGGTGATAGTTTTTGAAGGTGGCGTGCATGCTTCCCTGGTAACCCACACCTGCTGCTCTTTAATGTGAGCTGGGTTGAGACAGGATGGTAGAGCTAAAGCTCCAGGCCACCAGCTGGGATGGAGCCTCGAGACACAGGCTATGACTTCCTGGGGCTTGAAAGACTACATCAAAGCTGAAGCACCAGACCCCCCAAAACATTAGATACTATATAATACAGATTACTCTCTCTGCATATCCTCCCTGCATATGGCAGAGGTAAACGCAGGCCACCCACCTAGCTCACAATGATCATCTACTTCCCACAATTCTCAGTCAATCCTCCTTAAGCCACTCCTTCACTGAATAAAGACCAGGTGAGGCCCTGGGTCACTCTCTTGGTTCCAGAAAGCCATCTTCGTGGCTAGAATTAGAGCCCCTTGACTCCCTGATGATTGAAAATATAATTTAGTGTCTTTATTTTTGCCGTGGGTTGCATTGCAAGTGGTAGATTGGAATCAACTCGATGGGATTCCAATAACGTAACTTTGAGATTATAAATATTGGCTTCTTGGGCAAAGACGAGGAACTGGAAGTGACTCCCACACTGGCACCCATAGCAGACTGCATCTTATGCATCTCTGTAGTGGCCGCGTCCCTAACTCAGAGACTTGCAAATGTTGGGTATTCAAAGCACACTCACTGGATTGACTTAAAAGGAATTTCATGATGAATAATTCAGTTCTGTTCTGTTGTATTCAAAAAAGAAGATGGGGGGCCGGGGAGATGGCTCAGTGGAATAAGTGCTTCCCTGGCAAGTGCAAGGGCCCTAGTTCTAATCCCCTGTTCCACCAAAAACAAAAAA